TATAGGATATCCTATCTGCACACTGAACCTGCACAGTGGTTTGCAGTCTCTAGTAAAAAGTGTGGTTTGAAGAAGATTCACTGGTTAAAACAAGAGAGAGATGTTAGTTGCTACAAGGGATCTAGAATTGGAGGAGAACTGTTTTTCCTTTTTTTTTTTTTTAATTGGAGCGGTAGGAGCATTTTTAACTGCAGATGCATGGGAAGGATCCAATTAAAGAAGAAAATACCAAAAATGAGAGTGAGAGGTGAACAAAAGAGGAGAGAATAAGTGAGCAGGCTTAGGGGCTCAGGTGAAATTGGTAGCCATGAATTTCTAGGAGCCTCAATCTTCCTATTTGTATGGTTTCTCCATTGGAAAAAAATGGATAAATGTTGTTGATTGTTTCTTATATATCTGCATTGTTATATAGACATCAGTAAATATATTTGTGAGCATATATGAATTTTATGTTTTCAGGTCACCATTGAAATATTGGAATCAGACACTTCCACACAAACTTCCCCCATTAAAGGAACCACTACTTCTTACTAGCCTTCCTTTGCCTGGATACCTGGAGCAGGTTCGGTTGCATTGTTTTCTATGACTAAGTATTAGAAAAGTACAACGTCTCTTCTTCAGCAATTATTTTTATTTCAGTAACAATGAAGGTCAAAGAAGAGTATTCTGATTTTAAGCTGCAAATTCACTCCCAACCTATTTTGTGTAACTGTTAGAAACAAACTCTGAAAAGTCCCTGCTTCCATAGCTAATTCCCACAAATCTGTACTACGTAAAGAAAGGATAGATCATTACAAAATTATTTACATTTTACGTGGGTATGTAATTTAGTTCTTTTTTAAAAAATGTTTTGATGTCTGTAAACTTTTTCATACTTTGATAGATTCAGACTCAGGTTCATTGCTTGGTTGGTTCTTATGTGCCATTGAGTTGGTTCCAACTCATAGTGACCCTGTACAGTATTTCCAAGGCTGTAAATCTTTACAGGAGCAGAAAGCCTTGCGGAACAGCTGGTAGTTTTGAACTGCTGACCTTGAAGTTAGCAGCCCAACTTGTAACCACTATGCTGCCAGAGCTCCTTAGGGGTTCATTAGCAACTCAAAAGAGCTGAGTTGCATTGCTGTTACAACAAACCCTAAAGGCCCACATTTTTACCTGAACCCAGATGATGCTACCCTACTTACTCATCTAAATATACTAGTTGCCATCACGTTGATTCTGACTCACAGAGACCTCATGTGTATCAGACTAGAACTGCGCTCCCTGAGGTTTCCATTGGCTGATTATATGGAAGGGGATCACCAGAATTTCTTTGGAGGTGGCTCTGTGTGCTGTTTACACCACCCAAGGATTCTCCTTCAATCCTCTTTTGAAACAGTTAAACTCTTTAATAGTCATTTTTAAAACAGTAAATATTTCTAAGCTATTTGAAAACAATTTCTACAAAATATATGCCTAAAGCATAATTCTGTAGTTTCCTCATAATTCTTAGCCCTGCTTTTTTTTTTTTTTTTTTTTTAACTCACCTAGACTTTCAGTTTGATTTACATCAAAATGCAAAGTGAGGCTCACCCAGAGAAGAGTCTTCCCAGGAAGGGCATATTTCATCAGTAGGGCTTCCTACCTTGGTCTACTTGGGCTCCAGAAACTGGATTGCACTGATAACTGTCAAGTGGCCAGGCTCCTGAGAGTGGAAAGCAATGTGACCATTCTGTGCATTGAAGCAGAGATGGGCTAAAGCAACCCAAAGCCAAGTTGTGTTGTTTTGTTTTTGACTTTTCATTTTAACTTTTTGCTATGGAAAATGTCAAACATACAAGGGAGCTTCAAAAAAATTCATGGAAAAAAATCATTGTCTTTTAATTCCATATTCCTACAAGCTTTTTGAAGCCCCCTCATATATAAAAATAGAACTGTGTAATGAAGCCCATGTGCCCATCACCAACTGGCCATAAATTAATTTGTCATTTTCATCTTTCCTAATCAGATTCTTTGCTTCTGTTCTGCTGGCTGTGTGGTCATTTAAACACTCTTATAACTCCCCTCCCCAGCCCCAGGAGTCTATTTGAGGTGAAGAATGTTGTTGTTGTTGTTACCTGCCTTCGAGTCAGTTCTGACTCCTAACAACCCTGTAATAGGATTTCCAAGGAGCTACTGGTGGGTTTGAACAGCCAACCTTGTGGTTCAAACCTACCTTGTTTGTGTTTGAGTGCTTATTCTAAATATAGCAGTATTTATCTATCACCACTACTGGTGTAAAGAGTTCTGGTAGCGTAGTAGTTATGAGTCAGGCTGCTAACCTCAAGATCAGCAGTTCAAAACTGCCAGCCATTCCACGGGAGAAAGATGAGGCTTTCTGCTCCCCTAAAGATTTACAGCCTCGGAAACCCTGTACAGGGTCGCTATGAGTCAGAACTGACTCCACAGCACATAACCACCACTACCACTCCTAGTGTGGCACTGTAGGATAAGCACGGGACTGCTAATTGCTAAGTCAGCAGTTCAAACCCACCAGTTGTTCTCAAAAATAGCTCACAATAATAATTACATACACCACTAAACTAAACTCAAATATACATGTTTTCATTTTTCCCGAACTATAGGGTGTTGCCACTTCTTTAATCAAAGCAATGAATGCAGCAGGATGCCTGAAACCTAAATTCCCCTTCTTAAGTGTAAGAAGATCTGTGCTGTTGTTTATAGCATTTCATCTAAAAGGTATGATTTAATATTTGTTGTTGCTAAGTGCTGTCGAGTTGGTTCCAGCTCACAGCGACCCTATCTAGTGTTTCTAAGGAGCAGCTGGTAGGTTTGAACTGCCGACCTTGTGGTTTGCAGTCCAGTGCTGATCCTATAGCAACACACCATGAAATACCTACACATAACTAATTTAACATTAATTGTAGTAAATATAGCAAGTAGGGTTTGGTGTGTGATTGTGTGTGTGTAGGTGACAAATACAGGGCAAATATTTTAATGAAAATACCAAAACTGAGCCTTTGGTCTCTAGTTCTTAAAGCATGGACTATGAGTAGTATTATGGAGTCCTGGTGTGGTGTTGTAGGATAAGCACTGGGCCACAAAGTCGGTTTGAACCAAAGGGTCGGTAGTTCAAACTCATCAGCAACTCCTGGGAAATCTTATGTTGTTGTTGTTAAGTGCTGTCAAGTCGATTCCAACCCATAGCGTCCCTGTACAGGGTTTCCGAGGCTATAAATCTTCACAGGAGCAGAAAGCCTCATCTTTCTCCCGCAGAACAGCTGGTAGTTTCAAACTCCTGACCTTGCGGTTCACAGCCCGATTCATAACCACTACGCTACCAGAGCTCCTGGGGAATCTATAGAGGGTCACTATGAATCAGAACCCACCTGAAGGCACTTAACAGCAATAACAGGAGTCATAAAATAAACTCTCAACAATCCATACAGTAATATGAATTGAGGCAATTATGACCTAACATAGAATAATGCAGAAATCTTCTCTAGGATCTAAATATCTTCTTAGCTAGAACTACACAAAGGAGTCCTGGTGGTGCAGTGGTTTAAGCACTCAGCTGCTAACCAAAAGGTAGGTGGTTTGAGCCCATCAGCTGCTTTGCAGTAGAAAGATGTGGCAGTCTTCTTCCCAAAAGATTTACAGCCTTGGAAACCCTGTGCGACAGTTCTTCTCTGTCCCTATGAGTCAAAATCGACTTGATAGAAGTGGGGTTTAGAAAAACTACACAAATCAATTACACACTTAGTTCTTTTTCTCATGAATGTTTCACCAACTTAACAACAACAACAAAATTCACAGTTCTGTAAAATTTTCAACAGCATTTAATCCAAAAGGTTCTGAATATACCCGAAAAAAATATAAGAAGAAGATGGACCAGTTTGTAGAGCGATGTGAACTCATAACATACCTGGGTACTAAGATGACCAAAAAATACAAGGAACCTCAATACAGAGCCATTGACTTCGATCATAAATTACAGACCTTTCTCTCTCTCAGAAATATAGACCCAGTTAATGGATAGTTTGATAACTGAGCTGCAATATGAGCCTCTAGAGTCATCCCAAAGAAAGAACTGGAAGTAGACTGAAAATCTGGCCATCTGAGGCATGCTTATCCCTCCTGAACAGGGTCTCTCAGAGCTGGACTGGCCTCTGTGCTAGCCAGGAAAGAATATTCTTCTGTAAACAGAGATTTTACTATAGCTTTAAAGTTGATTGCTTGTCCCCTAAACTCTGAGACTTTAAAAAAAGGAACAGTTGTTATGTTTAGAATTCCACCTAGAGTATTTGAGCAATATATTTTGCTTAATAAATTTGTTGTTCATTTTCCTTTTTAACATTTTCTGTAGAAAAAAATTGATCTGTTAAAATTTCTCATTAAATGTTAGAAAACTCCAAGAAACAAACTAAGCATTGATATAAATAAAATACTGGTTACACTTTTAGCATGAAGAATTGTTTGTAAAGTTTGTGATTTAAGACACTTTATCATTTTTCTGATATACCTGTTAATAAATGGATTTTGCAACAAATGACTGACTGACTCTTTTTCAATTTTTTTTGACTATTTATGTAGTTTAATTAGAAATACTACAAACATTCTAAATAAAGATCCAGGTTTAATAAATCTCCAGTGATATTAGGTTGGTGTTTGCTTTAAAGACCAGTTTTAGTGC